GTCCAGACATGGAAGACACCCCCCCAAAATACGCCACTGCCTTGGTACCCTAGGGATCGAGATACGGCCCCGTGCGTCCAAACATACGTTTCTACTCACTAGGAAAGGCTGATCCCTTTTTTCTTAAATTAATAATAAAAAAAAATAGATTACAATTTAACAACTATTACATTATTTTAATTAAAATTTTTTTTTATAAAACTTTATAGCTTAAATTTATGTACTATCTTGTAGTAATACGAAAATAAATATATAAATAGGTATATATATGTATTGTGTATAATGACCAAGTTTATGTATGTTTGGGGATTTGGTCAATTGGTGAGCAACGAGGTTGTGTCGTGGTTGTAAAGTCCAAGAGTTTAGAACAATAAAGACAAGTAGATATAAAAAGAAATAATTAAGGTTCCTCTTATAGAGATATTATAAATGACCTAACTGGTAAGTACCTGTAATAATACACCGAAGCACTGAATGACTTATAGTATTTTTTATAACCCCGTACAATCATCATTGTGTCATTCTTGTAATGTTATCGTTTATTGATAAGTAAGCATAAAATATGAAATATATAAATTAATACATGTACATGATATACGAATCATTTTTATATAACGTTAATATAGTTTGTTTTTACACTTAAGACTAGGGTTGACACATAGTGTTTATTTATTAAGATAAGAGTAAAAAGAGCTGCCAAGTATAATTTATAAATTTATTGAAGTGTAATTTTTAAAGGTGACTAATAATTGAATCATGACTGAATCGTGTGTAATATATTATAATTAGACAACAGTATGTATTTGTTAAATATATCTCTAAGTTATTTATTTAAAAACAATCATGTTATTTTAAGCATATGAATATAATTAATAAATAAGTTTTAATAATCTTAAATGAAAAACTATTATTGTGGACACGAGTAGCCCACTGTTATTTCATAGTATAATAATGATGAGTATATTACAACAATCTATTATAGGAGCCATAAATAACATTATAATTTAATTTCAAGTAATTATTCAATTACTTATTTACTTATTTATTTATACCAATTAATTATTTAGAATTATTTAGATAAAAAAAGAGTAATATGTAAACAAAAGTAAGTAGACATATTATTAAAAAAAAAAAATCAAAATAAAAGATTCTTTTATACATTTTATAAAATCAAAATATAATTTTTTTTATAAAATTACAATACTTTCGAAAATCAATTTACTTGACTAAAAAATCGCATGAAGAAAAGCTTACATAAATGTTTTCCTGTCAATATGTTTCTTGCTTTAGATATTGTTTGACCAGTTTTGGAAAATGAGCGTTCTGATGGAACAGAGGTTGTGACAATACTTAATTTTTCACGAGCAATGTATTATAAGTTTGGGTACAAGGGCTTAATGTTTTTTCAAGCATCAAATGGTTTAGTGTCTATTTTTACAACAGGCTCTCCCAAATAATCATACAACTAAATATATTAACATAGGATGTAAATAAAAATAAGATGAAGATATTAAATTGTATAAACCTCTTAATACATTATAGTTGTTTTGTCTGAACTTGAATGGTTGATACTGAAGTATTGTATGGCCAAATATCAAATGAATCTAACTTTTCATCGACAACAATTTCATTTAATGGAATAGATTCAAAACAATGTACACTTTTAGAGTTATGTGTATAGTAATGCCAATATAACTTTTCATTTGAAAATCTGTCCAGATATCTGATGTTAGTGTAAAACTATTGTTTTTCTTCAAATTATAATAAAACACTTTAGATAAATAGTCATATTTTAAGTCCACTTTATTTTTAATAGTGTTCCTAGATGGAACTGTAAAAAGGGAATAAGACACTTGTAAAAAATATCTAAATCCACTTCCTTCAACAGTGGACAATGGTTAATTATTTTTACAATTATAATAAATTATTGTATCAGTTATTTTTATTTCTTCTGCTATGAAAATTTACTTATTTAATAAAAGAATCAATTCTTATAATAAAGAGCATGTGTTACTTTTTTCCTAAACTAGTATTTAGTTGATAAATTATAATAATTTAAACTTACATACATTATCAAAGGAATGAAGGTGAATTATTAACGTTAATAATTCAGTATTTAAGTTAAAAAAACGTTAAATACTTTATTATAAGTTTTTTAACAATCTCTTTTCTTTGCTTTATATTTTAAGGGGTTGAGAGGGGTTAATGTATTTTAGGCTACAAAAACTATTAAAATTTTTTTTTTCGCGTTTTGAAGACAATTTTATTTTTTTCTAAAAATGTACTCGTGTTGAGATTTTTTCTAAAATAAATAAAAGTATATTATTGGAAACGAAAAATGAATTATCAGTCAAGCAAGAATAATTTTATCAAACTTATCGTAATATAAAACTGAATAAGAGTTATTTCATTAATAAATCTGATAATTTTTATATGGAGATTATACATAAAATAGTTTTTACTTATTTTTTATCTTTTCTAAACGTTATCTTAAACAGGTAATGATTTTGAAATACATGTTTCAACTACTAACCTCTCTCTAAGAACACTTTTATTGCACAATTAATTAATAAGCTAATGAAGCCCTTTTGAATCATTAACATACAGCCCTTAAACATTGAAATCAGGCTTTGGGTTCTATGAAATTTTTGGAACGTTCCTAACTTTGGCCGATAAAAAAATCATTTATAATAATATAATTAATTTTAACTATAACTAATAATTATCAATTAAGGTCGAAGAGGCGTTTTTTCTTTTTTATTGGATGAAAATTTCCTATATACATCTATTTTAATATCAAAGATAAATAAATTAAACATTTACCTGCTTTAAAAAATGTATTTATTTTTAAAAATAATATTAAAAACTTGAATATTTGCAAAAAGTATATTGCACAACAATTATTATTCTAATGGAGTAGTTTAACATTGTATCAAAATGTTTATTTAATCGGAAATAAATTAGACAACAAATCGGAATCATAAAAAACACCTTAAATATATAATAATAATCAACAAAGTATAGTACAAAAAAAAAACATAATAAATAATTTAACAGTGAATAAAAAAATAAACATTAAAATGTATTAAAAAATATACATTTAATATATAATATAATAAATTATTGTCATGAATTAAATACTGGTAAGGTTTACAAACTATACATTAATAATATTTGAATTATTAATATATACGTATTTGTTTTGTTATGATTTAAAAACTGTATGTATTCATTAGCATGTTATATAATTAAATCTTTTAATATATAGTTCATAAAAAAAAATGTTTAATAAAAAAAAAGTTAAAAGATATTTTATAATGCTTTAAATAATGTAATCTGTAAAACAAACCATTTTATATTAACCAAATGAATTATCTAAAAATATTTTAAGATATTTTTAATATAAACAAATTAAATACAGTAACTAAAATTATGTAATGTGTATCTTGTTATACAAAAGCCGTCCAAATACATGACTTAAAAAAATTGGGTTATTTAAAATTCATTAAAATGTAAGGAATTTTACATTTAAAATTAACGAAATGTGAAAAAATAAATAAGGCATAAATAATTGGTAACAATTATAGCAATAAATTGTACATTAAATATTGCTATTATAATATTAGTTTTGAACATGTATAATATCAATCATTAGTTAATAACGAATATTTTATAATTTGTTATGTCTTAACGCACATTTAAGTTAATATGTTAAATCTACGCAAAAGTTCATTAAATATGATTTAATGGTCTTAAGCTATTTTAAGCTATGAATAAATTTCTTTTATATTTTTTTATGAAGAATAATTCATTCTTCAAATAAATACAATCTTAATCTTATAAATATAATCTATTGCTAAATACATTACTTTATGAAAATACCTTATTGAACAAAGCTCTCGAATTGTAACGTTCTATAAATATATTTAATATATATATATATATATACAATAATTATGAATATATTATAATAAATTTTTATTAATTGATTACATTATTATTAGTTAATTTAGTTGTGTTCAGAAAACTTGTGCTGAGTCTTTAATATGAACATAGATGTGCATACAAGGACACTAAAGAGTGCTTTGGGGTTATCTACGACTAGTCTAGTTTTATCTAAGATGGGCCATCAACAATTAAATAGGGATAAATGCCCTACAAGTCCCTTAAATCTTCCATAAGATATATACTGTTAAGGCAAAGTCATGGGCAAGGCGGATTAAGACCTATATTGGTGGTATCTTGAGATAGATCCCCTATGGAAAATATCGCTACAATAACAATAGTGATAAGCAAAAAAAAAAAACCAAAAAATCTGTCATTTTAGTGAAATTTGAAAGGTCTCCTTTAATTCGTGTTATCTCCCCTTTTTCTAAAGCTGGTCATATTTTTGTTACCTTGAATCACTGTGCACATCTATGCATACGAATTTAGTTATTTATCAAGCGAAACAAACTTGAAACGGCAATTTTTTAAATTTAATTCTGTTAGAAGAACTAAATAATTCTTTTTCTAATTAGGATTATTCAAATTATGTTGCCACTAAATTTATTTTTTCTTCCATATTTAACAATGATAGAAAAATAATTAAACAAAAAAAATCTGTATATTAGACTAAGCACATTTTTTTAAGTTACTTCAAATATTATATTATAATTATAAATTTGAATCGTTTATTAAATATTTAAAATAGTTATGTTTTTAATTATAAATATAATCATTTAATTAATTCATATTGATTATTACTAAGTGTAATAGAAGTTACTACATTTATTATTAGGAATAGTTCATGATTTTGACTAGTTATGGTCATGTAATTGGATAATTTTTCCACAATATTTTAATTTAGAGTTTTGGATAATACAACAATAATAGTTTTTAATAATTATTAATCATAAATCTGTGAGTTGAGTATACAACTTTAAACTTTTGCTGGTAACTTAGTTGACGACACCAATAATAGTATCTGAAGGTACCGTGTGACACAACCTTAAAATAAAAATGAATAATAACTAAAAATTTTGAAATTACAAGTTGTTATTACAATGTTACATTTTTTTCAAAAAATTGTTCAGTATTATATTTAGGAACATTGTTAAAAAAAATTAATCTCTTTTTCATATTCTGATATAAGTTTTTATTGAACCAAGCCACAGAAATATTCAAAAACTTAAATTCCAGAGAAATTTTGACACTTACCAACTAATTTTTGGAATATTATGGGCTTGTTTTTCCAGTAGATAAAAACAAAATAAACAGGAACACTGCTTAGTATCATCAAACAACCATACCCTATCATTGGTAATATTTAAAATAAATGCATAGTTTTTTTTATGCAATTATTAGTTCAGATTAATACTTACCTGTCTCTACGGGACTTTCAATAATTGGAATTAGAGTAACAAATAGCGTTGCTGCAATATATATTATGGGAAATAAAATATTAACCTTGATTGGTCTATGAAGATTTGGTTTGGTCCATCGAAGCCAAGGAACACACAAAACTGAGACTCCAATACTTAGCTTAAAATAAAAATCAAATTTGTTAATAAATTTGTAGATTTTTCCGTTCTCTCTACCAATAGTAATGATTTTTAAAGGAAACGTTAAAAAACATTTAATTTTAATCTAACTATTTAATAATTATAAATATAAATAATAGTATAGAAGAAATACAAGTATGTTATAACTTTTTTGTAAGTTACATCCATATCTTTATTGGATAACTGATAGAAAATGTCTATAACTAATAATTGTAAATGTAATAAATATTGTTAATTCACCCATGTTGTAAATCCTACGTAATTGATAAGCGCATCTATGTTGGAAACTTGTAGGTATAACAGCGAAAGAACGCACTAAAAATTAATAAATTGTATAAGTTTAGTATTTAGTAATAATAAATGACTAAATTACAATGCAAATAACTGCAGGTGCTGGAGTTAAATGTTTTATTTGTATCATAGTTAAGATTTGTGGCATTTGACCTTCACATGCTCCAGCATAAAACAACCTAATCAAAAAAAAATTCATCAAATTTATATATTAAAATGATTAAAACTTCATAATAAGGACTAGACTATATGTCAATTTATGTATAATTTAAAATTAAGAAAATAAATAATCTTACAAAAAATAAGTTAAAAATTTAATCTAGAAGATTTTTTGTGGATTCCAAAAAACACGTTTTCAGCTTATTATTTTTTGCTAAAATATAATTTTATATAAATTTAATAAAAATACTACCTTGAACTCGTTAATAGTATACCATTTACAGCACCGAACGTAGACATCGCGACGAACAAAGGAATCGTCCATGCCATTGGACCATATAGTTTTTCAGCAAAGTTCTAAAAATTAAAATTTGAATAAATATCGTAAAAATTTTACTTAAAAATTCATTAAAAACTCTTATATCTGTTTTATTCACATGGTGTTCATAGTGTTTTTTGAATAATTTGTTTGATACTTCAATAATAACTGTTTAATAATAATTTTTTGATATTTATATTTTACAATTATATACCAATAAATAATGAAGATAGTAAAAAGTTCTTTTACGTGGTTTTACGATCAAATATTTAAAGTGAATAAAATAATAATCAATTTTATAATATTTTATTTTTCAAACTTAAGATGCTATAGAAGGCGGTAACCCTCTTTTACATGTTAGAAAGTCAAAGATGGTTCTCGGCTAATCCCAATGATGAACAAGACGGCTATTGTGGTCGGCTTGCACTAGAGATCAGACACCACCAATGAGAAAATCACAAGAACAATCTCCTTGGTACCCTAGGAATCGAGATCCGGACCCCGTGCGCCGAAACATACGTTTCTACCCACTAGGTAAGGCCGACCTCTTAAATATTTTAAGTATATATTTTAACAAATATTTTATTGTGCAATATATAATTGCATGTGTAAAAAGTTATTTAAAGAGTTATGTCTTACTACAGCTACTGCGTTAGAGTTCAATACTTCTTCTGGAGATAATGTCGTAAAAAATGCTACATTGGTGAAAACATATACCACTGTGACAAGGACACACGATATTGCAATAGCTCTTGGCAGGTTTCTAAAATATTTAATAAAAAGTAAATAATACACACATTAAGAGACATAATACTGTTACAAGACCTTATTGGATCCTTAAGTTCTTCTACTATAAAATTTAAATAATTCCTAAAATACAAAAATAAAATTTTAAACTAATATTCTATATATATATATATATATGTATAAAAATTGTATACAGTGTAGAATACTGTATATAATTTTTGGTGATTATTTTAACTATTTTATAAATTCAGATATTTAATACAATTTAAAATATATATATATATATATATCATACAGCTATTATATTATATTGTTCAAAATAATCAGTACATTCAAGGCTAGACATATAATAATAAATCAATGATAAAAATTGAATATCTAGTAATTAGATGAAATTTCAAAGAATACTGACTAGTAGATTTTTTAGAAGTGGAGCGTTATAAGTTTAAAAGTGTCACATTTTAAATCCTAGGATCCATAAAAACGAAAGATAATTACATTAAACGAATGTGGCTACTAAATTACCAATGGGAAATAGGTGTTATTTTAGCCTAGAAGAGCATGTTTATGTTTGACCCAAAAGTTTTATCAAAAAAATTTAAATTCAATTATGTATGATCATGATACAACTAGCGGTGTCATATGGTTCTAAAGTGTGAACCTTGAGAAAGGAGAAAATAAAACTTACAGTTTTTGAGCGAAAAATACTAAAAAGAATTTACAGACCATTTATTGAATCTGATACTGGGGAATAGATCATAATGAGGAATCGAAGAATTTATTTTTAGAAATCAAATATTGTTGTAGAAATTACAAGAAGAAGATTAATGTAAGTTGGAAAGAACACTCATTTATTAAGACGATAATAAAAGAAGATACTATTAGGAAAACACCATTAGGTAGACCCTCATTTACGACAAGAGGATCTTATCAAAAGATATTAAAGCAGCCAAAATCGACAAAAAGATGATGAGAGTTAACTCGTTAATTTGTGAGATGATTAAACTATTACTATAATTTTTGGAATCAGAATAACTTCCAGCTAATTATAGCAAAGTAATAATAAAGTTAATTTTTTTTTTTTAGTATCTTATGAATTAATGAAATTGAAAAAAATATTCAGTTTAGAATTTAATACAACTTAACGAGTTAAAAATATGTTTTAATTTGTCCAGCCTCGAATATTCTATTTAAAAAATGTGTACCATCCATTGTACGCAAAAAGTCCCGAGTAGAAAGAAAGTGCTATTGAGGTAACTTTGGTTTCTGTTTTTTCAAATGTAAAATACTCCGTGTGACCTGAAATAAAAAAGTACATAAAGTAATTATTAGTATCTTTCAAGTTCATAAATATTGATTTAATTATACTTCGATAGTATTTTATAATTAAAGTGCTGGTGTATATAATAGAATAAAATGCCTTACTATATGATTGGTGTATATTAAGGATAAAAATAATAATAGGATTAAAATACTACCAACAAAATCTTAAAAAACTGTGATTAGTCAATAATTTATAAATTTGTGTTGTGATAAAAATAAATCTAGCTAAGAAGTACCTGTACACCTCATGAAGGTCTAGTTTATGAATTAAAACTCCTAAAAAGAAAACAAATTTTTTTCTATTAAATGTTAAAATGATTTTTGTAAGAAATCAAATATAAGCAACTACATTGTCAAAATAAATATCTGCACAATATGCTACTAATTTAGTATTAAATAATAATGTAGAAAAGTAAAATTCTTTTTCATCACCTCTATCCAAACAATTTGGTGTCGGCCACTCTTATCCTAAACTTCCACTTGATACGATCTCCAATATTTACGCAAACATCAGCCGTCCTCATATCGCATTCAATAACATCCCTCCATCTCTTTTTTGGTCTTCCTCTACCTTTTCCCACCTCAACATTAATTCCCATAATTGATCTTACAGCTTACAGAGGAATCGGATTCCTCTCTTCTCATAACATGAGTAAACCATCTAAGTCTATTTTCTCTCATCATATCTACAATTGACGATATACCTACACTCCCTCTTATATGTTTGTTCCTTATCTTATCTTCTCTAGTCACTCCACTCATCCATCAAAGCATTCTCATCTCTGCTATACTCATTCTTTTATCAACCACCCAAGACTGAATCATGCATCATAGCTAGCCTCACTGCAGTCTTATAGAAATTACCTTTCATCCTCATTGGAAATCTCTTGTCGCACAACACACCAGACGCTTCTCTTTATAATTCAAAAATTCTCTCTATAGTATAATATTTATTCAAAAAATGTTTAATGACGCAAATTTACTTAGTGTCAAACAAAATTAATAAAATATAAGAAAAGTAATAGTTGAAATACGTGAAATCGAATTTTGTGAATTAATATAAAGATTGTTTTGTATAACATGGTTGCAATTATATTTAAAACGGTATGAAATGTTTGGTAAAAAAAACAATTCTAAATTAAAAGGGAAATCGTGTTAGAATATTTGTCACAGATACAAGTTACATATTACAGTCATACATACGAAATTATACATTTTTTCATCAATATATACGTATTTAAAAATTATATTCGTCATAATAAAAAAAAAATAATAATAAAATATTGTTACATAAAATGCTTTATATATAAATATATTATTGTTTGCGTTTAGTTTTATTAACTGGATTGTATAAATTGTAAATTATTAAATTTTTTAAATCGAATTCTAATTAAATTATACCGAGAAAATACTTAAAATTTTACTCAAACATTTTTATTAACATTTACGGATTATACAAAAATTTTATAAAAAATGATAATTTCACAGAACAAATGAATTGTTTCTTTTGTCTATTAACAAAAAGATTACTAATTTTAAAGATTATTTTTAATTTTTTTGTCAGGATAACAAAAGATCTAAGATATAGAGGATCTAAAGACAGTCTTTATTGTTTTATTTTTTATCATATCACTTAAAATTGTTCATTCATTACATCAAACATCTGAGTATTCAGTTTAGGTTTGGTTACTTATTGATGCAGTTATAAAGCTCTGTGAAAAATTACAAAGACATGCCACGAAGGCTCATTCATAAGGCAAACTTTTTTTAAATGTCAATCATGAATAATCGGGTTAACGACTTTCCAATGGCTATGGATATTCGTTTTCACTAAAACGGAGACGGTTTAGCTGCCACGATCACATTGAACACTGTCAGGGGTCGCTGAATCCATTTCAAGATAAAAAAAAATGGTTTCACGTGTTACAATTGTCATTGATGTGTATTACTATTATCATTATTATTATTAGGAAGATGAAGGCCGCTACTACTTCGTAGTAAATCGTGTGTGCTACGGTGGCGGTGTGTTGGGAATTCAATTGTTTTCATGGAGCACTGCTGCGGTCCGTTCTCTTGCTATAAGTTACTGATTGACATCCGTTAATATAAAACTCTATAGCAACTATACGTACCGATCGTCTGGTGCAATAATAACACAATATAAAATAGCTTTGAAAATTATAATGAAATAGAAATCTGGTGTTGATTCTACTAGAAATTTGCCGGATTAATCGAAACGGATCCAGGAGATATATCGAATATGTGTACTAACATGATAAATCTTTAGATATTTTCATATTTGATTATAACACAACAAATAAAAAAATCAGTTGTATAGAAAAATACTTATGTAATTCAATTTTTCATTAAAAAGTTAAATTCTAAAAAAATAAGTTTTTTACTATAATATACACTATATGCCTCAGCGTGTTCTGATATCCTTAATAATTTTTGATCCAGCGAATATTTCGAGTTACGTTTTTATTTAAATAACTTTTTAATTTTTTGACTACGTTTAAAATATAATTTTATTAATTTCTGATAATAATTCAATTTTTTCCCCTTATTTTTAAATAGCTATTGTTTAGCCTATTTCTTACAAAAAATTGTGATCGGTAATGACAACTTAAAGTATTTATTGAGTTACAAGCATTTTAATGCACATAGTTGGTACAGCTCGTATTGGTGTATATTTATAATACATACTTCACTTGCGCTACATACTCTATGTATTAAAATGTTTGTAACTTAATAAATAGTTATCCTAAAATTGTTATCGAATTTTTAATTTTTTTTTTTTTGTAAGGTAAAACTAAAAAATGGCTATTTTAAAATTTCAAAAATAATAAAAAAAAAATGATTTAAACGTAATACAAACAGTGCAAATTATTTTAAAAAAAAGTTATGCAAAATATTCACTAGATCAAAAGTTATTAAAAATGTCAGAACAGGCTAGAACACTCTGTATATTCCATGTATGCACATGGAATTTTTGTTTTTATCAAAACACATCATTAATAACAATTAACGCTTTGCAAAACTTTATAGTGTATAATATATATTCCATTACAATTCCAAAGTGTAAAATCAGTTGATAATTCATAATATTTGTTACGTAAAAGATTTTTCATAGCCCGTCATAAATAATATAAATTGAAATAGTCCAGCTGTTAAAAAAAAATTAATGAATAAATTAAAAATAAGTAATGTTTGTTTTTTTAATAGTTTTCAGCTTTTAAATATCTAGGATATCTTTAAATATTTATATTTTATATTATATTTATATTTTCAATTTAAAATGGATACTTTGTAAAATTATTATAATTTTTTTAAAGCTGTAACATGGTATTTTATGTTTAATTGATCAGGCACTACATTTACCAAAATAAATATTGAATAAGAATAATAAATTATTTATCACTTTGTATATCCCAAAAATATAACTGAAAATAAACTTCATGAAATACAAATACATTTTCTTTTACTTAACTGATTAGTTTTTTTCTCATATTGTTACTTAAGTAATGTAATACCTTTAGTTAAGTACAGATAGCAGGTGTTTATTCTTGCAGTTCTAAGTAGATTAATCGATTACCAATAAAAGCCCAACTTATAAATTGTTGGCAAAAATAATAACTGTCTAAAATTTAATCATTTAGTACAGTATAATAAGTTTCAATAATTGAAAATGATAAAATTGTGTTCTAATTTTTTTAACGGTAGTTGTGTAATAGTATTAATGAACATTCTTGTGCACTCATCTCCGTTTTTCGAAATTTCTTTTCATTGTCATTCGAATACAAAGGTAATAGAAAGCAAACAATTTTTATTTTTTGATGTGGTATCCCAAACAAATAAGGACTTACTAAAATTTTTTTTTTCAGTTCAAAGATTATTGACAAGAAATAAAATTAATATAAAAGTTTTTTAAAATAAAATAAAATCCATGTAAAGAAATTTGATTTGGCTACATTTGTATTTTAAAGAATTTTATTTAATTATTTAATTTCAGATATTACATTACGTAAAGTATTTTTAACAAATAAAACTTAATAAATTTTTGATTGTATATATTTTTAAACATTTCAAAAATTACCCGATTTTTTATCTCAAATTACTTGAACTTTCAATTTTATTTTAAAGACTATTATTAAAAATTGTCTTTGAAATATATCATTAGTGTATATATAAATAATGAATATATATGTTGCAATCAATGTATAATTACAGGTAATGTGAACATTGACGCGGCATTGTAACTAACGCATAACTTAAATCGGTACGTCCCTCCGTAAAATGGGGAACATGTATCGAATAATATTTTTGATATTATTGTATACTCCTCATATACTTAATTTTGTAGTTATTAAAACAGTTAATTAAAGAACAGCTTAAGTGAAAAGTAGGAAATAATCTTAAGTATCATTAAAGGTTGTAAACACTAACACCTGAAAAAACAGGGTGAATAGCTAAGTTCAATTTGCCACACCCAGAATATTCCCGAGAATTACTAATGTTAAGTTAGTTGATTTATACTATCAAAATACAAAGGGATTTAACCCACTAGACTACTAGATTTCTTTGCCTTTGATACACGTCTGCTACACCATGGTAGTACTGCAAACATAACTAAATATAATTAAAAAAAAAAAACACACTACAAGGGGGTCGCGGCACAGTGGAGATGTGACATAGTTGAATCAAGTATAATGATATCTGACAGTGATTAAAATAACTATCAAAAAAAACGCTTCGATGCAAATCTTTAGATAGTGTTTAATTTTAAAAAATTGGTGGATTATTACAAAAGCTACATGATCTGCTATTTCCTTATTAATATCCCGATTAAGATAAAGTATGTCGAATGAAAGAGGGATATAAATATTATTTCTCATAAAAAAATTGTATTAATCCATACACTTTTCAATAAGTTATAGCGTTATAAGATTAAAAATGTAAAATATAAAATCGAGAATTTTCACACAAAAATAGCATTTGGTAACTAATTTCACCCTGAATACAAAATAAAGTCCGAAAATTTTTTTGTCCATGATAAGTATATTACATTAGCTTTAATTTAAAATATATATAAAAGTGTCAGACTTTCCGGAACACTTTCAAAAGTTAAGTTGAAAAAGTCATTTTGAATTCCCCTCTGTGGGCAGGTAAAGGGTCAGATTTATAAAAAAAATACACCATATGATAGGTAAAGACATCAAGCATCTATAAAAAAAATTATATTGATTTTTTCATTTTTAAGAAAGTTATGGCAGTTTTAAGTAATAAAAATTTAAAAAATGTCAAAAATTAGCGATTTTTTAATTTATAATTTTTTTGGAGATTTCCCCCATTTACGGGGAACAAGAGAAATTTTTTCAATTTTTGAAGGTAAAGTTTTCGACTAGATACGTTTTGTGATCTTTTGACGTATCGTTGAAAGAAATCGATTTGGTGAGAGTTGAGAAAAAGTGGTAATAGACAAAAAAAAAAAATAAAATACATCATAGTAAAACCAATACCTTCTCAGCTTTGCATCGAAGCTAAATGTTTAGTTAGGTTTAAAGTTAATATTCAATAAACAATGAAAGATTACAAATTAAAACGGTTTCTATTATCAAACAAAAACGATTAAAGTTACAATATCTGATATTATGACTGATATAATGATACCGATGATTTGTCTATATTGCCCAATTTTACTTGGGCAACAGCATATTGACCCGCAAAAATAATCTAAGTATTTAAATATTCTACATAGACCATATAACGAAGGCGAAGTTTATAATGTCCGGTCAATGTATCATATTGCCCGTAATTCTAAATTGTCCGTAACATATACAACAAACAAATCTTAATATATATTTATTATAATTTAAGCAATGCTAGAAACAGAAAGGATTTCGCTTTTTCGAAAATTTTAATTTTATCCAGTAAGTTAGTTCTGCTATATTGAATTTTTTTTAAACAATTTACAAGGTTAATAATTGGAGAAACCGAAAGTTAACCAAACCTAAAATTTGACTTTGTTTATTAAGTTTAAAATCAAATTTTGATTTTAAACTTACATTTAATATAAGTTCAGTTAAGGATTCAAAGATGATCTTATAATATTTTCGGCTTCTCTAATAATTTTTTAAACGTATATTAAAAAAAATTTGATATGGATAAACTAATTTACTAGATATAAAAAAAAATTGTCAAAACCCGAAATTATTTCGGTTCCTAGAACTGATTTTAAGATTTGTTTTAAAGTACTATGTGCAAATATATTTAAATAATTCATACATGGCTACTAAATAATGAAATATTAGATTTTTAGTCCCTTTTTGAGATTTTATAGCTTATCTAATTTTTAGGAAATTATTAAAAAATAATTTTAACATGTCAATGTACTAAGTAAATTCGTTCCATTACTAAGCAAAATAAAAATAATAACAGAATAAAAAGTGTATAATAGGAAGTATAATACGTACATAATAATAAAGTAGAAAATGTGGTATTATTAGCAAAATATTATGAAAAATATTTAGGATAAGTGAAAAGAACATCTAATCAAAGTTATATTTTAACATAGTCACTTTGTTTATGTTTTAATTGCGAAATTTATTTGGGTATCTAATCAATTTGGATGTATAAAAATAAAGATTAAACATTGATTTTTTTTTAATATTAATTTAATGAATTGATTTTAAAGTATCAATTTTTAAAACGTTCTTTAGTTTTTAATTAAAAGTTTCGCGTGTAAACAGAATGATCTAGTGTTTTTCGTAAACTATACATTTTATTTTATTATTATATTTTTTCATAATACATTCATACCTACATGATATTAACCCAATTCTTTAAGTGTGATCATGGTTCATTCTATGCACACAATCTAATGTCACGTAAAAACAGATTTATAGCGACTTGCTCAATCAGTGCCATTACACGTGTAAACATCACGTATCTAAAAACAATAACTATTGACAGCAGTTAAAGGATGAGTAAAAAAGTCGTTTTGTTATAAAAAACTTTAAAGTATAGTACGAAAATACACAGGGTGGTGGCAATCAGACACGTTTTGAATGGCTTCAGCAATTATCTGAGTATAATCAGTTGTAACACGAAGGAAGTAATCATACGGGATCTAGTTTTTTCTTCCCGCTCGAATATATAATAATATTTTGTGTAGTAAAATCGAAAACGTACATCATATTCTTATTGAATACGTTTATTTTTTACCATTTAATAGCAATATATTATTATTTTATTAATAATATCATAATAATAATACCGTCTTTCATAATATTTCATTCACATTTGATTTTCACTTGTATAAAATGTGTTCTACACTCCCTACCAATGATTTGAAGTGACGGACTAGAGGCGTTCTTAGACCGTAATATGTCAAACGCGGGAAATCTTCGACCATAGTAATCGAAAACGTGCAGTTAAACGCTGATAGGCAAAGTGTTAGGTACCTACTAAAAGACTACAGGATTGCCTAGAAATTTATGAAATTTTTTTTGTCATTTTCAAATGAAATGGCATACACTTTGTTTTTACCAGCCAAATATAACAATCGGTTCTTGTCGTTATACCTATTAATGATTTTCACAGTGATCGCGTTAGTGTTTGCTGATTATTCCGTTGCTACGGCTATTTTCAAAGGAACTCATGTTCGACGTAAAAGAACTGTGCCCGACTTTGTCGAAGACTTCATGAACAGTGTATACTTTGATTTTCAAGATCCATTACCGTTACCATCTACAGTAATCGCCAGGATAACACACATGCCAACTACGAATAGAATAAGGTACGGGTGCGCCCAAAATATTGATTCATTTCGTAATTTCTGCTCTTAATCATTTTCTTCAACTCTCACTTTAAGTGATTATCTAACATAGTTCTAGGTTTTATATTTTTGAAGAGTCATAAAACTGAGAAAATTATTTATAAATTACTTGGGTAATAAGTCTTCGACGAGGACTTATTGTTGGCTTGGATCTAAAAGGTTTTATAAATCAAAAAGTAATTTTCCAGGGGAGCAAATTTAAATATATTTAACTAATTTTCAGATTATAATTATTTGATTTAAACGAAAAATTAATAAAAAAAAATTCAATTAAATCACAATTTATATTACATCAACAGTTAATTAAGAACGGACTTCATAATCAAATAATATCGATAAAACTAAACATGGAACCAAATAGTTCTACAGAGAAAACCTATTAGCACAAACACTAAAAATAAAATTTAAGCTAGAACCTTTTTGCAGTTAGTAAAAGAAGTATTTTAACATAAAGAATTTTTTGTTTCTAATAAAATAATTTGTTTTTAACTTAAATAGAACATTATTGTTCCTAATGAAATAGATTTTTACTTCAGATAGTACCTTTTTATTCTAAAGTTTTTCATAATGATATTTTGAAGGTAAATAAGGAACTTATTTGCAATGAAAAAAGCGCGCTACAACTAAATTACGAAAAAAGTGAATTTTATAAAATTCATAAAACCTATTGGATTCAAACCTACAATATACAACTATAAACAATCAATATAAAATAATTTGTTAAATAAAACTTAGAAAGTCTAACAAGTAAGGTAATGAAAAAATGAAAATGCCAAAAAAAATTTAAACTGTAATTTAAAAAAAAGATTGTAATTAAAAGTTTAAATATTTCAAATTGATTAAGCGAATTTTTATTTTGATGGAAAGTTATACTTACTCCCTTAGTTAATTATCGGTTATAACAAGAAAACATAATTTTCTTTTAAAATTCTTTTTCATGTTTTAGTGTTTATATATTAATGTCAATTTTGAAATTAATATGTAGGAAATATTTTGTCGAAAGATATATTCCAAATAAAATATTTTGTTGAAGTAAAATTATTCAATATTTAAAAGAGTACTCATTTAAAGTCGTAAAATATTCAGTTTCTAAGTATATTAAAACGAAAACGTAAACGAACCAACCCTAATTTTTTAATAGGCATATTGTCATTATAGAAATTATATTGGTAGATACTTGTAAGTTGAGAACCTACTTTTTTTTTTATTTTTACAAACGTTTCTTCTAAAATTTATACATTTTTTATAATGGCTTAGTTTTTAAAATAATTACATCTTTAAAGGATAAATGTCTAAAATCTTAAGTTATATTATATGTTATTTTTGATTAACTGTTAATCATTCGTGAAGGTAAATTCTAAGGAAACATCAAAATACGTGATTCAGAAGACAGGTCTATTTAAATGTATTATATTGATCAAACTCAATACAAAAAAATATAATGCACAATCGAATAAATTTAAAGTCTTTATGTAAATTAATGTTATTCATTCTTTAATAAAAAAAGTATAAAAATTTTAAAGATACCGTTTAAACTATTGTCACACAGTACCACGTATATTACTATTGTTTAAAATTAAAAAATAAAACTCTAAAGGTGAAATCTGAAAACTTCCTCGCGCGTTTAATGAATAAAAGAACAATGGCGTACAAAAATCTTACTATGTAGAATTTTTTTACTTTTACAGTTGATTAACAAATTATTTTATATATTGGATAGTTTTTTTAATCGTAAACTACTTAATTAATTAAACAAAAAAATTATATTGATCATTTTTTTAATGGTTTCTTTTGGTTCCATGTTTTTCTCAGTTTAGCAACATGAAGTATTTTTTATGTTCATCCCTTATGTCTTATAAGGGTGTTAATATTAGTTTTTCAAATGGTAATCGGCATAATTAACTAGCATATTTATTAGATAATGATCTAATAAAAAAAATTACTGGTTTATAACAACATTAGACCAGTATTTGAAAAGTTATTAACAATTTAAAGTAATAACTGGAGGTGAAACGTGAGTGCTGCAATTTTTAAAATTAGACATTTCTCGGCTTCACATCACCTCCCATATTAATATTAAAATGTTTATATATATATATATATTATTAATGCTTATAAATTAATTTTTTTAGATATATTCCCATGGAAAAAATAAAATTAACTAAAATGCGTGCTCGAAAGTTAGCTACACCAAGTATGAAGTTCAAGTATCCCAAGAAATATCCTCTTAAAGAAGATGATTTTACAGCTTCGTTATCGAATAACAATTTGCCGTGGACTTTACATCCATTGCCACCGCCATTGACAACGGTTAAATCTAGTTTAATAGATGCACATAAAAACGTACCATGGGCTTTGAACCCGCTGCCTCCTCCAGTAAAAACTAAATCCTATAGCGATTACTATTGGTCAAATATGAAAAAAACACCAGTCAAATTTAAACGCAAGTATAGACCAATGAAGCCTATTCATGTCGTGGAACACAAACCATTTGGTTCAAAATCTATAAACTATAAGCCTACAGAATTAAAATCAAGCGATATTATAAAAACAATTAATTTCAAATCTAATAAACTAAATAACGAGAAACTGAAATCAGATAAGTTGACGGGGATTGATTACAAATCAGAATTAAATCAAAAATATAGTGAAGAGGATCCAATTAAAGATTATTTTAATAATCACGATCAACGAAATATTCATGATGAACAACGACAAAGCGAATCTTCATCTACAGAAAACTTTTTACCATCAAAAGCACCTAGTTATATGACTACGCATATTACTATCGAACCGTCAATTGAAATTGCATCTTTTTCTGAAACTGAATTGCAAGGTGACAGCACTTCTAGTAACGCAGTATCTTATGATGATAGTCAACACCGATGTCATTGTATTCTTAATGGACATAGACACAAACGGCAGACAGAAATAAGCAATTTAAATATTAATGACAATGGAACAACTATTGATTGGCGTGGTGATACCAGAGTGGAACGTTCTCATGATCACTACTCTTCGGTAGGACACGCGACAGAAATTGAAGTTCAAAAGTCTCAAGATATAAGCGATCAACCAATTGTTAATGGAAGTCCTATAAATTACGAACAACATGTTCGCGAAATGAATATAGCGACAATGTTAAAGAACGATAAAGTACCTTCAGAGTCTATTAACCATAAACAGGAAATTATAGATAATATACACAGCATTAAAGATAGTGACAAATTTAAGATTAACTATGGAATCGATCTCAATAACTTGGACGAGTCTAGGTCGTCGAGAATATCAGCAAATAAGGGAGAAATTTCCTTAAAATTAAACGACGAGAACACGAGTGGTAAACTTCGTAGTACTGAAATTGGTTCTAATCCCAATAAAGAAAGACGTTTTCAATTAACAAAAAGTAAAATTGAAAATTCGGATAAGGGGGTAGCGTTTAGCATACAAACTCCATTTTCAGTAGCGAGTTTTGCTTCCAATATAAGATATCCGCTTTCAGAAGGACATCAATCTCAATTCAAGTATACAAATGAAGAATCTCCACAGTCAATGTTTCACACAGATTTATCGGAACCACTTGACTTTGAACAATTTGGCTTAAAATCTGCCGTAGGTGAAGACAAACAATCTAATTCAGGGCAATATTTAACAGAATTCTCTAAAAGTTTTGGAGATATGCCCTTTTATACTAACACGGGTCAATTAATTTTGGATATGACACATAATTCCCAAGATAAAACATTAAATTCTAGACGAACCGAGCCTCATTTTTCTCTTAATTTTGAAAAAAACCATGAAAGATCAAATTTATTTCGTTACAACACACCAATATATTCAAACAGGCCGCTAAGCCGACTGACTAAAATTCGAGATGAGGCAGATAAATCATATTTAGAGTACTTCCAACCAGTAATAATTGATTTCGAAAAATCTGACAAAACCAAATCTAAATTGTTTGGACAGAACAGTAATAATAATAACAATAATAATAATTTTAATTATTTCGAAAAATCTGATTCGTCAATGTTTCCGAGATTTAAAAAAAATGATAATCCGGATTCTCTCCGCTTACCCGGACGCTTACACGAATTCAATGAACATTTAACAAGAAAAATGATACTTCACCCGTCAACGTTTGACATCGACTAAAATAATGATAAAAATAGTTATTCCATAATGTTTCTATACAAAGTTGAAATTAAGATCATGAAATAATTAAGAACTATTATTCTCATATACTCCTCATCGTAAGTCAACTATTATTTCACACAAAAAAAAGATTTGTAAAAGAAATTAATTTTACAAAATAATTCTTCAACGGCAAAATGGTTTTATCTATACTAAGTATGATATTTCTGTGTAACAATATTTCAAATTATTAAAAATAAAAATTTATTTATTTTATTTTGAGTAACATAATTTAAATTTTATAAATACCTATACAAGTAATATTCAAATTATCCTTACTGCTAAGCGTTTATTAACGTTTATAAATAATTACTTATTATGGTTGTATTTAAATTTACTATCTACTTTTTAATTATAAATAATTAAGTATGGTAGTGTTATATTAATTTCCAGATTCATTGTAGTTTTTTTTTGTCATTTTATTGGAGGGGCATAATAATAATAATACTATTGCCCCGTCGAATTTTGACCGAGGGGGCAACTGCCTCTTGCTCCCCCCCGTTTCCGGCGCCACTGTATATTTCTCTTATTATCTTATCTTATTATGTTTAAAGTATGTTAGTATTGAGTTATTTAATTGCGAAGTGATTCATCAAAAATATATTAAGAAATTATTATAATTTAATACTTAATCTATTTTTGTATAAATGTTTACATGTAGAAATTAATAGCAAATTAGATAGAGGTAAGAATTTAGGATAAATATAGTTTTTGATATTTGTTTTCAATTTATTAGATCTAAATTCAAGTTTATAATGACAGTTACGAATAATCCATAAAATTTAGTTACAAACATATTAAATAAATATTTACCTGTCGCCAACTGGTATACTCCTGTTGTAATAATGACCATAAGAGCTAACAATTTAGCGTATGTGAATGTATCTTGCACACGTGTAGCCCATCTAACATCCCAGCAGTTAATAAATGTTAGTAACACTAAACAAATAAAATGTCATTATTATTAGTAATTTTGAAGCTTTAAACTAAATTAAAATTTCTAATTTATATACGTAATTTAAGAAAGTTAACATAACATTACACTTTTATTTTACTTTTAAATTACTGTTTTGTCATAAAATAACAACACATTTTGTGAATATGTTAATTAACATGGCAGTAATAATAATAATAATATATAATAATAATAATAAAAGTATTGTACTCTTTTATTTATATAATAACCCAGCACAGGGGAGTCGCGGCACAGTGGAGACGTGACATAGTCGGATCAAGTATAATAATATCTGACAGTGATTGAAATCACTATAAAAAAAAAACGCTTCGATGCAAATCTTTAGATAGTGTTTAATTTTAAAAAATTGGTGGATTATTCCAAAAGCTTCATAATCTGCTATTTCCTTATTAATATCCCATTTAAGATAAAGTATGTCGAAAGAAAAAGGGATATAAATATTATTTCTCATAAAAAAAATTGTGTTGCTCAATCACTTTTCAATAAGTTATAGCATTATAAAGTTAAAAATGTAAAAAATAAAATAGAGAATTTTCACACAAAAATAGCATTTGGTAGTCATTTTTACCGTGAAGACTAAATAAAGTCAAAATTTTTTTTTTCCATAATTAAGTACATTACATTAAATATAATTTAAATATATATATATTTTTTTTGTTATCTTTAGTTTCACATTATTCTTGAATTATTAACTATGTAATACTTTTTAAGTTCATCCCTTATGCCTTAAAAGAGTATCAACTTTGTTTTCTTAAATGTGAACACATATTTTGAATTTAATAAAATGTTTGAGTTTTTAATTTAATAGTAAATGGCATTTGAATTTTTAATATAACTTAAATCGTTTATTAGATATAAACATTTAATGTTTCAAAATTTTGAGTTAATAATGTATAATATACAAGGGATTACAAATACAGGTAGATAATTGTTTTTTTATGACATTGCTGTCATAGACGCGGATTGTTTATTATCAATTATGAATATCAATAGATAAACTTTTTTTATTTTCAGTTAGTATATTTATAAACTCATAACAATGTGCCTTACTACCATTGATAATAACAATGCTGTGTATCTGCGAATATTGATGTCATAAAAACCAATTAGCTACCTGTATTTGTAATCCCTTGTGTATTATACATGAATATTAACTTAAAAATTTGAAACTTTAAATGTTTATATCTAATAAACGAATTAAGTTACATTAAAAATTCAAATGCCATTTACTATTAAATTAAAAACTCAAACATTTTATTAAATTCAAAATATGTGTTACCATTTAAAAAAACAAAGTTGACACCCTTACCAGGCATAAGGGATGAACTTAAAAAGTATTACATAGTTAATAATTCAAGAATAATGTGTAACTAAAGATAACCAAAAAAATAAAATGTTTAAATTATATTTATTCTGTAAGTAATTTAGTGAGTTATGAAAAAAAAATCATTTTCTATATAAAATCATTGATATTTAAAAAGTGATGATCTTTGATCTTTTAAAAACTTGTAATCAGATAATTCCTTTTAAAAATTGAACACTACCTACAATTTGAATCTAATAGTTTTTTTATTTATAATAGTGATTTTAATATCTATCAGATATCATCTGATATATCGGGTATACATGTTTTAACTAGCACGTCACCACTCTGCTGGGTTTTTTATGGAATTGTAAATTCATTAGAATGCATTTCTTTTTTTAACTTTTTTAATTTACAATTTATTAAAATAAGTCTCAAATGTTTAGACCATTTAGTTATGTTGTCGCATAGCTATTACCTATTTTATGCGCATAAGCTCTTTATACCATAACCGAATATTATATTAGTAGATTCAATGAAATGCGGTTAACAAGATGTTTCCTTTTAGTTAATTTAAAAGACACAAATTTAAATTTATACCATTTATTGATTTAAATTTTACTACACATTACTTTTAAAGAATCTTCAAGTACATAAATTCTTTATTTTAAATTGTTATTAATATAAAATTATTTTCTTATTTTGATATCATTCCTTTAAATATATGTTATGAAAATTATAATTTGTTCAGTTTTTTATATAAACATCTATTTTTATCGATATAAAGATGTTTAATGGAATGTAGCGGGAGAAATCTCCATTTATTTATCAATGTAGTAGTTGTAAAACTGCGTTACCACGTAGATTATTCTATTCGCGATTTGATTTAGCATAAATGTAAAGGTAGAATTTATATATTCTTTTCATTTAATCAATGATTATAAATTACAAGTCACTTTTGTCATTTTAATAATAAACAGTAATATCCTGTGGAAAAATTAGAGATATAGTTGATAATAAAATAATTTAAAATAATGTCCAATAAAAATACGAATAATTGAGTTACATAATATGCATTGAACAAAACACGAACTTTTTAACATTAAGGAAACAGATTGGATAGAATAAATTTTTATTATAAATGTAATGAATAAAAAAAAAAAAAAACTATAAGACGAAATTTTCTAAACCTAGTTCAAGCAATTGTAGTTGAAAATTTATTCTATAGAATCCAATGTATAATACTTAATGACACTTTAGAATGCACACTCAAGAGGTTGTTCACACTAATGATCCAAAAAATCCCATAGGTCAGTATGATATTTTTAGTATACATTTTAATTTTACATACAAGTTATAAAATTTTGACATGAAGAATCAAAAATTCGTACACAAATATACAACTTTATTGTTATTTATCACAATTTTCCCTTAAATTGTATGCGTTAAAAACTTCTAGTACATATATGTGATAATTCGGAAATTTTTTTAAGCGTAATATTAATCATACACATAAAAACACTTCTGATTTTGACTAGTTGTTATTTTTAAATATTTTATTCTAAAAATATAAATTTTAATTAAAGAGTTTTAGTATTAACTATAAAGAAAAAATCTTAAAATCCATTATTTTTTTTAATTTCTATGTAAAGCTGAGAAGTTTTAGTTTTATCATTAGCAAACATAAAATTACAAATAAACAAATTATTATCAGTTTCTAAGTCACTGTTAGATATTATCTATACTTGTTCCAACTAACGTCACGACCCTAATAAGCCTCGACCTCCCTGTGTTGTGATTTTGTTAATGTGACCTTTAAAGGTCTAACGCTATCTACCTAAAGACGAAGTTATTTAATTCTGACATACACTGGATTGGTAGACCATTTTATTCACAGAAAACAGGATGATGATTTATTTTTTACAGGCTAAATTCTTGTCCATCATTTGATCAAATAATTAAAGAAACTTGAGATGACCTACAGTTTGAGATTTTGATCTTTCTAAACATTCGAAAGTATTTATTTAGAAAAATGATTAAGGGATAATTTAGCTAATTTCATCTAAAGTTAGTACTTATTATTTAATTTTTGCTCATGGCAAAATAATCTCTCATAAAAAATTTAAGAATAGTTCATGTTTTTTATAAAAATCAACAGGAAAAGGGTTAATAATCTATGAAGGTACGTTATAAACTTTGATATTTACTTACCTATACAACAGGCAGCAAGTAAGCGTACTGATTCATCCGGAGGATCACAGTTTGTGTAAATAGGTTTGAGAACGTACAAACTGAAAGTTAAAGCTACTATGGCCTGTGAACATGGCCTGACAATCATACACTCAATCCAAAGTCTCATGAACGCCAAAAATGGTCCAAACGTTTCCATGATGTATGCATAATCAGCACCTGATTTCGATATCATACAACCTAATTCGGCATAACAATATGCACCAACCTGTGATAATTAGTTCTATGAATATTAAAGCAAGACTTATACTGTATCACTTATAGATCATACCATCGAAAATAAGCCAGATACGATCCATACAATTAGAGACGAGTTGACTGATTTTGTATGACGAATCACTCCAGAAGGCGATATGAAAATACCTGACCCGATGATACTGCCAACTATAACGGTGACGCCGTTCAATAAGCTCATTTTGGCTTTAAGGCAAACTCCATCTTCGCCTGGAGGATCAGCCGCAGTGGTTGTTTCGTCCTTACTTTTGACGCCCATTTCTCACTCTTAGATTACTGAAAAATCTAAAATGTAATAAACAACACTTTTTAGTCAAGTTATTATCATTATTGTATTTATTATTATAATTAACCACAATTATGTATAATTTCTTTGAGGGACTACAAAATTATTATGTTAATAATTTTAGTAAAATCAAATTCTATCAAAACTATATTTTTTTAAACTTACAAACACTTAAAACTTATACGCAATATATATGTGGAAAAGTACTTAACTTTACGAATTTATTGGTGTATAATCTTTTTTCAACGTTGTTCAATTATTGATAAATATACGACTCTGTATATGCTTACGCATTGAAAATGACGTATTTAAAGGGTTTATTACATCTAAACTACCTGTTCATCAATACCAAACATTCATATATTTAAATTAATACATTAGTAAATCATATACTTGGATATATGATTTTAATATTACGCAAAAACTAAAACTTATCACTTAATCGTAATTTATAGTTGAATTCAATTACAGATACACAAATTTTCTAGAAATATTTTCCAATGTATATTTACTTTATTGTACAGGGTAATTGAATTAACTATGCCTCACAAATTATCTCTAAAAATATAAGAGTTATCTTTTTTTTTTTTTGAAATATTATGTTTCTATCTTTGGCTGCTCAGTGATTAAAATTAAATTTTTATGATCATTCCTTATGCTTTAAATCAGTATCAACATTCAATTTTCAAGTGGTAACCCTATTTTTTTTATATATAATCAGATTAGATTTAGTTTAAAAATATTTTTTTATTTTATTCAATTATCAGCGAGCTATGATTCATTAAAGTTTAAGGGACGTGAGTATTACACACGTCAGAGACGAGCAAGCGTACCTAGTTTTTAGACAAAAATAGTTTCATGTTTAAGATATAATTCAGAAAAATTTTTTCTATATATAACGCCTTCCTAATAAAAAAATCCTTGGCTCGCCACTGAAACTAATTCAATCATTGACAGATAGAATATAATATTAAGAAAAATATTGGTCATAAGTTCCTAAAAGAATAATTTATCTAAAAAGACTGATTAAACATAACTTAGTTATATTTTTTCGTTATAAAATAATTAAACTTACAAAGTCCATCACGATTAAATATTGCAACGAAGATTTTTGGCAGTAAATGTTGGCTAATTACAGTCTGTGTATTTTTTGTAACTAGTGAAGTATTATATCTAAGCGCACTAATTAAATTCGGTGGAATAATTATTACAGGTATTATTATTCAATTATTGCAAATGTGGGCGGCACGTTACGCAAATTAATTTTTTGGGCGCCGTCTTGTCTGCTGCTCAGCAGTTTGGTTACTGAGCAACGCGACGACTCCGGTATTCTTTCCTCTCGTTGTCCTGCAACATTGCCGCGACAACGCCTGTGTCAGGATATTGCCAATTCGCAGGCGCGCAATCCCTTTAAACAATCAACAGTGAAACATTGGCGTAGTAGTACATTGAAGTTTTCTTTAGGAATGGCTTAGCGCTAAAAAAAGTAATAATTAAGTATTTGCATCGCAAGCAAACTGGTAATTAAAACAAAAAAATCAAAAAATAAATAAGGATTAAAAAATAATTGCTTACTTGAAACACTCCCATGTTTTGTTTATATTATATTATTATGATTGAGAACGGAGTACCATATAGGCAAATCACGTACATCTATGAAATAATCAACGTGATTAATAACAACTTTTATGGATAATAAATTCAATACGTTAAAGTAAATACTCATTTAAATTAAATTATTTAAAAAAACAAAACAAAAAAGTTGATTGTCTAGATATTTTATATGAGATAAATTCACATTTCCTTACGAGTTGATAAAAGCGTATATTTATATATTAATAATTATTTATAATATCTGTACTAATTGTCTTTTTAGCTATCACTCAATCAATAAATAAATTAGAAACTAAAGTAGTCTTTAAACTTAAAGCATATAAATGTATTTATATTTCAACTATTATATTATAATCTTAACAATACTCTCCTTGAGTCGCTTAAGATGCAACACTTTATAATTCACTTTTTCCAATTTTCCAAGTGAGAATCAAAACTGATTTAATAATGGTATATTTTAGTTAGTGGCTGTTATAATTTTTACATATTTCATAAATAACGGTTTTCTTTATGTGTTAATCAGAAAATAGTATTGCTAACTAAATTTGGCCGAAATTGAGATAGAAGTATTTCATCTTAAGCAATGAAATATGCGTTACTAAAGCTACTAGAAAATTCCATAACAATACTATTACTGTTTTAAGTGAAACGAGCGATCAATCACTCTGAATATATCGTACTTAGAGTACTCAAGTATAGTAACTCAAAATTGACAACTTTTTATTTACTTGTTTATATATATTTTCTTATAATTAAAATGCACAAATACTTAACAATGCAATAGCATATTATGTCGTATCTACACTATTTAATTCGTAATACTGAATAATATTGTTTATCAATAACAGAAAATGATAAACTCGTTTCATGCATTAGTATGGTATATTTTGAGTTACTACACTAGAGTACTCAAGGTGCCGATAGGATATAGACAACTATAATGCTCCCAAAACTGTTCTGTACATTCTTATATTCCATTGACAATGAAAGTGTGATCAAAATCACACTTCTTGTTAACTTTGATATCAAAAGTTTCTAGGATTAAATAAATTTTTAAATCAAAGTTTTAATTTTCATAATATCTTACTACATTTTTAACTTGCTTCAAGTTAAATGATAAAATAATATATTTTCACGTCTATTTAAAACCACACTATATTTTTAATCTAAGAAATAATAGTTGAAAAATTCATTTTATTATTGATGCTTAATATTCTTTGGAAAATTATGTGAAACATTTTTACGCAGTAATTACTAGTGCTTAAACATCTTGAAAAATAAGTTTGTTAACAGTTCATTTATGTTGAGCTAGATAATGAATGAAAAATGATGGAAAATAACGCCAACCAAAATTTATTCAATTTTAGTCAATTGCCTGACCTAAATTGTAACTTTGCTATTTAAAAATTTTACTTAGACAATTTTTTATAATTATTTAAATCATTAAATTATGAAACGAGTATTTTAGAATTTATTTCTGCTTAAATATATATACATAATGTGTGAAAATATTGAATTAAACTTCAATATATTAAAGTATAGATATTATAGTGTCTAATTTCTGTGCTTCAGAAGGACTGATTTATTCTCTCTTCATAAAATTATATGCTACGCATGAAAAGGTAGAGACAAATTTTCTTAATAAAATACTTAATTGTTACTTTTTGGCGTGTATAAAATTTTAAATATATAAATAACAATACTATCACATAAATTATAATGCTAAAATTAGCTACAACTATTAATAATTAGTTATAAACATAGCCTAAAATGATGTTGATAGTTCAGTACCACGTCCATAAAATAATGTATGAAATTATGCGGCACAAATACATGTTTTGAAAGATATATTTGAGATGAACATAATGTTGATGTCAATCAGCAATTAATTTATTTTAATGAATTTTAGACATCTATTGATAAAAAATATTAGAATAGCGATTATCATTTTCATCTTATCTATATATGATCATTTACTCCTTATCTTACTAAGAGAAGGTATATTTCACTACAAGAAATTAAAATGATTTTTATTATTTTTTAATTTATTAAGTAATCTGATACTTTACAGTCTTCCTACATAGTACTATATTATTTATTGTAGACAAACTGGATCAAAAAATGGCAAATCCTATTATTGGAAGAAAATCTACGCGAAGAAAACAGTGGACTTTGCTAAGTAATAATTTTTATAATTATTAATTTTAGATTCTACCAATAATTTTAGCCAATATTCCAAGTATTTGATTGACAAAAAGTATTGACTTTAGATTATTTAATTTAAATTACAGATCGTCCTCAAAATCGATATAATCGTTTTGGAAGCTATTTAGCTGAAGATGGTTGGCCAGATTCACAAGTTGATTTAGCAAAACAATTACTTAATGAGAACTGTGGTATGGTATTTATAGTAAAAAAACATTTAAAAACATTATTCTTTATACTTTGATGTACTTGGTCAATTGATTTTAAAAAATATCTTATGTTTTTTGTTTCATTCTTTTTTATCTCATTAAATTTGTTTTTAAAATTTATATATTTATAGATGAAGAAAAAGATATGGAAGAAAATGCTTCTTTAGGTGTTTACTGGTTAATTAAAGCATCATCCCAAGGGCACAAAGAAGCTACTGAAATTCTAAAACAATGTTTGGAAACTGGAAAAGGTGGACAATAATTTTTAAATTTAAAATTATTCTTATCATATGATGTTATATTAGATATCACATATTTTATTGTACTAAAATTATTTTACTTATACAGAATATCCTATTTTAGTTTTTTAATAACTTTGATAGAGCTAATATTTTATGTTATTTATTTTTTTTTAATAATTTTTATTGTTTTAGATTATATTAAAGCATATTTTTTAATGTTTTTTCTATTAAAGAAAATTTATTTATTTTTTTTATTTTTTCCAAAATTTTAAAAAATTTTCTGAGCTCTTTTCTTGCATTAAATTTTGATAGGTTGATGACAACAACTTAGGAATATATACCTATCCTTAAGTTGTTATTGGCCCTTCAATATTTGTGTTAGAAAAGACTAAAAGATGACTATTTTAAAATTAAAAAACATTAAACATTTTTATTTCATTATTATATTTCATTAGAATCAAATGATAAAAATAGGCTTTTAGTATAATCCAAGTTTTAAATATTTTTTATATATTACAAATTTGAAATATTTTTTTTTAAAGTATCTGCTGGATCAAAAACTATCAATGGTATCAGAACCTAGTGGAACACCCTTAGAAAAATAATTCATTGTATTATTAAAAATTTAATTATAGTAATTGTTTAGGTATTAATGAACATAATTGGTTAGATGTAAAAGTTTGTCTTGAAACTTCTCAAGAAGATAAAATCATTCAAAAAACAGCTCATGAAATTTTTGACAGGTACCTTACAAATTTAGTATAAAATATAATTTAATTATAATATATAACTTTAAATTATAATTAAAGAAACTTCAAACATCTCAACCTGATTGAGTATAATTTTTACAATTATTCATGTTTTAAAGAAAAAACTATCTTATATGTATTTCATTTTTGTATATTATGTTTATTTTGTAAATCAACTTATTTTCAGGTTTTTCTTTTTACTTGTTTATAATATTTATTTTTTTATATATTTATCTCTAGTATGTCAGCTGGAGAAGATTTTATTACTAGTGATCAATTAAAAGATGAAATTAATCAAGCATGCTGCTCAAATAAATTTAAATCAGACATAATCAAGCTAAATAACATAAGGTCATCAAATTCAAATTGTCAAGGTAAACTTTTTATGTAATTTTATTAGTGATTTATTTGAACTAAGCGAGAAATAATACATTGATTAATTATAATATTCAGCATATTATTAAAAAATAATTTATTTAATAATACAAATCTAACCCGATTTTCCATAGCTAATTATGAAATAATTAAATATTTCTTATTTCTAATCAAATCATCAATTTTAAATGTGATAAGTATTATAATATTTAAAATATGTTAGTACTTTTTTTTTATGTTATTATTTTGATTCAATTATTATTATATCTTTACGTAACATTACTTTCATTTTTAGATTGGAAATCTAGAATGAAAAAATCTGGTGAAAAGCTAACTGAAGATATTATAATTAATGCAGCAAAAGATTTTTCTCGTGGACAGATGCCTTTAGTACAAAAATTGCTCACTATTGAAGAAAACAAAGATGCCATATCAACTACTTGTGATTTATTTCTTCAACCTGTTTACTTAATACAATCTTACAACTTATGTTTGCAAGAAAGACTGAACAAACGTTTTACAAAACTACCATTTAATCCACTATCATATATACATGCACCAACAATGTTGTTTACATTATTAAGTTTTATCTTGGGTTGGGAAGGAATTCGTACAGCCACACCATATATTCTTTACTATGGATCATTATTTGCTATGATAGCAACAACCATATGTGCATTATGTGCTAAAAGAGACTTTGGACGTTTTCGTCGTTGGTCAAATTTATTTATAACTTATAGTGGTGGTAGCCTGAGTGCTCAAGAAGCTGAATATCAACATTTAATGAACACTCTAAAACCTTATGTTTTTTTTTTTGCATCATTAGGAATACATTTGTTTTTGAAAACAATAGTTTATTCTAATATTTTGTTTCAATCTGAATTAACAGTTGTATCTTTCTGTCTCACCTTTTATACATTGTACTCTTTTTCAGTAAGTTTACTGATCATTTAGTCACTAAATAAATAAATAATGTATAATTAAAAAATCATAAATTTAAAAAAAAAATTGTTTTAGTTATGTGGTCCAAAATTAGGCAAAACCAACAATTTTGATTTTATTGCACTATTATCATTTTGTGTTAATGTTTTGGCAAAATATCCTTATGAAACAGATGCAGTTGTTAGTAAAGATTGGCGGTTTCTTAATTTACATGTACCTACATTTGCATCTTATGTTATTGGTTTGTATTAACAAATTAAATACAATTCTGTAGTTATTATTCAAAAGTTAACTTGTTAACTTAAACAGTTTTTTAAGAGGATGAATTAAAATTTAAATTATCAATAGCATCTGGTCAAATTCAACATTAATGTCAAAAAAGTTAAAAAATTACAATACCTTCCCCTTAAAATTAATTTGTACTTTTTTGATGCAAAATAGAAATTATCCTTCATTATACATACAATAAAAATGTTAAAAAATAATTTTTGTAACATTAGCTTTTGGATATAAGCCACTGAATTATAAAAAATGTTGTATTTTGAATTATTTTCTAGGTAACGGAGTTGAATTTTGTTTAAATTTTCGAGCATTATTTTATTTAATAATGCCAGCAATAATGATAAAAATGGCTGCTCGAAATAATTGGCGTGGTATTTATACTGATTTAATACCACATTGTATGACATTATCATGGTGGCAAATAGCCTTAGTTGCATCTCAAGGTATATATAAGTAATAAAAATAGTATATTAAAATCAATTGTTTCTGTACTTTACAGAAACTTATAATCAATTTTGTAAAAATTTTATTTTTATGTATAGAGTCAACGTGGTATGGTTTAGTTCGTACAATATTAGCTTTGGTTTGCATGTTCATACTGTTTCCAATAACTGGTCTTTGCTTACCATTTATTACTATTGGAAATAATTTTGAAACTCTTTACCAGATCATACAGTTACCTATTATGTTATTAATTATGTGGTTATTTCATATTGTTTTACAATATTTTAAACGAAAAGGATATCACACTGAAATATTCTACAATTATTTACGGGTAATCATTTTATAGTTTAGTAACTATATTAGTTTAAACATTTTAAATATATTTAATAGTTTATTAAAAATAATAATAAGCAAATAAATTGTAAACAGGGTGATTTTTTTATCATAGTTGACAAAGTTGACACCCATACAATGCATAAGAGATTAACTTAAAAAGTATTAAAAAGCTAATAATTCAAGAATAATATTTAACTAAAGATAAACAAAAAACAAATGTTTAAATTATTAGCTTCGATGTGAAGCTGAGAAGGTATTGGTTTTATTATGATGTATTATTTTTTTTTTTGTCTATTACCACTTTTTCTCAGCTCTCACCAAATCAATTTCTTTCAACGATACGTCAAAAGATCACAAAACGTATCTAATCGAAAACTTTACCTTCAAAAATTGAAAAAATTTCTCTTGTTCCCCGTAAATGGGGGAAATCTCCAAAAAAATTATAAATTAAAAAATCGCTAATTTTTGACATTTTTTAAATTTTTATTACTTAAAACTGCCATAACTTTCTTAAAAATGAAAAAATCAATATAATTTTTTTTATAGATGCTTGATGTCTTTACCTATCATATGGTGTATTTTTTTTATAAATCTGACCCTTTACCTGCCCACAGGGGGGAATTCAAAATGACTTTTTCAACTTAACTTTTGAAAGTGTTCTGGAAAGTCTGACACTTTTATATATATTTTAAATTAAAGCTAATGTAATATACTTATCATGGACAAAAAAATTTTCGGACTTTATTTTGTCTTCAGGGTGAAATTAGTTACCAAATGCTATTTTTGTGTGAAAATTCTCGATTTTATATTTTACATTTTTAATCTTATAACGCTATAATTTATTGAAAAGTGTATGGATTAATACAATTTTTTTATGAGAAATAATATTTATATCCCTCTTTCATTCGACATACTTTATCTTAATTGGGATATTAATAAGAAAATAGCAGATCATGTAGCTTTTGTAATAATCCACCAATTTTTTAAAATTAAACACTATCTAAAGATTTGCATCGAAGCGTTTTTTTTATAGTGATTTTAATCACTGTCAGATATCATTATACTTGATCCAACTATGTCACGTCTCCACTTTGCCGCGACCTCCCTGTGCTAAGTTTTTATATTCTATAAGTAATTGAGATTATGATAAAAATATCACTCTGTGAAGGTGTCACACTAAAATTTACTTATTTGAATAATTGTTTATATGGTCAAATTAGTAAATCACGGTGGGACACTCTAACAAATACATTAACAATATATTGAATTAGAATAAAATAAAATTTTGAAATAATATTCATTTAAAGAAAAATGTTTGATATTTTTAAAAAAAGTTTTAGAAATTTCTATTAATAATAATATGATAAAAGGGATCTTTATAGCATTGGTAATATTGATATTTTTTTTTATCCTAATATATTAATTAAATTAATATTTTTTAAACTTTTTTTAGATTTCTATAGTTTTTGTTGGTATTATTTTATGTGTATTAAACAATTATGAAAGAATACAACATTGGCTTGAATCTTCTACTGAACATCATTTGTCTTATAATGAATATGCAGAGTATTGCAAAAATTATGATTTCTTAAATTCTGACAATATAAATTTATCCAGTGATATGAGGTGTTCACAACTAATAGATGTCAGTGTACAATGGGATGGTTATGTCAAATCTAGTAAAGTTGTTTCAATATATAATCCAGTTTTAGCTATTTTGAGTGTTTTCCCTAAAGTAATGAATGCAATTATAGTTTTATTATTAAGTCAAAATTAAACTAAATTTTTTTAAATTAATTTTAACAGGTTTTCACAAACCCTCTGATCTGTCTACTAGGTGAACGTTATCCTTCATGTTCCAACAATTTAGGCTGTAATGTAAGCTCTAAACTATCAGATCTATGTCATTTATCTCAATGGAACAAATATACTTATGAAATTGAAGTAGAAATCAATAACAATGGTGGATGGGGAACAAGTAGTGAAATTGCAGTATTGTTGACTAGCAATGAAAACATCCTATTGGATAATGCTACTAAAAGTTTAAAAGAACACGACCACATTTGGTTCTCAGGTAGATTAATAGGCAGTTCAAATGGTGTAATTATAGCTAAACGACCTTCAATTTTTGTTTCATCTATTGGATGCTTGGCTTGTTCAAGTGGACCAATAATGAGTAACATCGAACAAAAGTCACTAGAAGATGAGTTTATTAAAAATATTAAAAGGCTGTTTCAATTTATTTTATATCCAATAGTGTTGTTTAAATAATTTTGTGTCTATAGTTCATACTAAAAATACTAACTGATAAAATAAAAATTATTACTTGATGAACATATAGTTGAATGTTAATTTGAAAAATGTATTAAATTAAATGTTAACTTTTATTAATTATAATTTATTAAACTATTAATAATTTATCGTGTACTAATATTAAAATATTATTTGAATTTAATCATGAAAAAATTTGTAATTAATATGAGTAATTTAATATTAATTAAAACAAGTAAAAATACTCAGTAGTGTTCTTTAAAAAAGAAAGACTATTAATTAAATTAATCAAGAAAAATGAAAACATTTTTATTTATGACTCAAATTTATAATTATATAATCAAATTATATAAAAAGATAGATAAATGTATACAACTAAGTTGTAATTACTTACCAAAATACACAAACATTTATTTTTCCACGTATTTTTATCTCATGAAACATTTGTTTTTAAATATCACAGGTTCATATACAGTTAAATTTAAAATATATTAATATACATTAAAAACTAAATAGTAATTGCTACAGTTTTCAAACAACATTAATTAATAAATATAATGGGTCATTAACAATTAAAATGAAAATGCTAATAAATAATATATATGACAAAATAGTTTCAAAAATGAAATAAATTAAAAATGATACACAACAGGACTAGACTATACATTACTGGTAACCACATTTTAAAGTCCCAAGTAGTAAAATAATAAAAAAACAAGAGTAAACAAATGATTACTTGTTAGATTTAAAGGATAATCATTACACATATAGAAAAACTATATTGTTATTTAGAAATTTATAATGTAATGAAAAATAGTTTAAAATATTGGACTTTAAGAAAGGGTATTAAAAAGAATTATACATATTTATATAAGTTATAAAATTACTTATTAAAAATATTGTACTAGTAAAAATCTTTTAACAGATTGTATACTTGTGTAATTTACATTCAAAAACATAAATTAATTTTGTTATAAATTAAATTTATGGTACACTGTAATTTTAAAATTTTTGAATATTATTGATAGAAGTAACTTGAACTGTACTTGAGTGTACAAGGTCATTACTAGCACCAAGCATTTCTTGAATTTCATCCATTGATTTACCCTTAGTTTCTGGGACAATAAAAATAACGAAAAATACACCAAAAATGCTAAACATAGTAAACAACCAGAATGTGTTGTAAATATAAATAGAAGCTACCAAAGATGAGTAGAATTTGGTAACAAGATAAGCAAAAAACCAATTTGACAAACAAGCAATTGAACAGGCAGTACCTAAAAGAAATAAAAAACATTAACATAGAATTATAGTTAAATAGAATTTTTTTTTTATGAAATATAATAATCACCCTTTATTTGTGCTGGAAATATTTCTCCTATTAACATCCAAGGAATAGGACCAAAACCAAAAGAAAATAGTATAATAAATATACACAATGATATTAATGGAATAAATCCAATTGAGGTTACATCATAGTTGGAATTTTGAAGGTAAAAGAACACACCAATCAATGCTGTACAAATACCCATAACTAATGCTGAACTTAGAAGTAATATTTTTCTTCCAAGTTTATCAACAACAAGTGTAGAAATGTATGTGGCTACAACAGACATAACACCAACAATAATTGTTGATGTGCTTGCTTTCATATTACTTCCAGCTGCCTGTAGTAATATTTTAAATTAATGATTGTCATAGAAAATAGTCATTGTATTTTATTACTGTGAAAATGTTCGTAGCATAAAATATAACAGCATTGCAACCCGAAAACTGCTGCAAAAGCATAACTCCAAGGCCAATAAACAAACCACGTTTAGCTGGAGTGGTTTGGAATGCTTTCACAATTGAAATTCTTTCTCTTTCAGTCTAAATTTTTTTATATATAGTTAAAAATTTAACTTAAAAAAAAATAATTTTACCTTTTCAAGCGAATCATGCATTTCAGAAAGTTCTTGATCAACTAAACCATAAGGACCTCTGAAATATCTTAATGATGATCGTGCCTTTTCAACATTTCCTTTCATTAGATGAAAAACAGGTGTTTCAGGTATTAAAATTATCAAACATGCATAAACTATTGGAAAGACAGCACAAGCAATTGACAATCCAAATACATCAAGCTAAAGTATAATACAGTAAATATGTTAATACTTTCTCAATATAATAAAACTAAAAGTCTTACATATTTTCCAGCAACATAAGTAAACAATATTCCTGTAACAATTTGAAGTTGGAAATAAGTTCCTAGTGTTCCTCTTATTTCTTTTTCAGCAATTTCAGATGTGTACAAAGGAACAATAATGGAGTATGCACCACTAGCAAATCCTGTTAGGACTCGTCCCAAACACATAGACAATACCTGATAACAGTCTATAGTTAATTAATTAAAAAATATAATTTAATAAAAAAACTTACTGATTCAGCCCATATGATCATTGCCCAACCAATTAGGCAAGGAACAACTAATAGCAACATCATATTTTTACGTCCTAATTTATCTACAAGCCATCCAGTTAATAAACAACCAAACATTGCACCTAGAGGCATACATGATCCAATCCATGAAAGATCATCTTCTGTGACTGTAAATGGATATTGACCATTTTTTAACAATTCTCCAGTTGGAGATGTCCATCCTAGAGTTGTACCTGCTATAAAGCCTCCAATAGTTGCTATTTCACATAAAATTCCAAGTTAATAAAAAAAATATATATTTTTACTCTATTAAGTTAAAATTATTATACCTATCAAAGCAGCCAAATATTGAGTCCATTTTTTATTATGTGATTGTTCATTTTCAACGAGGACTTGTTGGCTCATTCCAATTTTTAGGGAATCCATTTTATTAATAAGAGGGCTTTTTTCGCTAAATTTTTCCTGCAAAATTCAGTACAGATTAAATACATTTTTTCTGATTATCATAGTCACACTTTTTCATAATTTTATGATTTAGATATAAAATAATAAAATAATTGGTATAGTGACATTAATATAGTTAGAATAAAACACAACTTTAATATTACTATCAAATCATAATACTTATGCAAATAATAAAAGAACATTTTAAAAGATAATTCACATATTAAAACTTATTAAATACCTGTATAAGTTCTTCGCTCATATAATTATAGTCACCAAGAGAGTTCTCTCTTTCCTTAAAAACTGTGATACTTGATACATTATTTGAAAAACTAGTAGAAGGCTTAATATCAGCCATGGTTTTTAATATTGAGGGAAAAGTTTTTTAATAATAAATCATCAATACTTTTATAAAAGTAAAATTATCATTGTCTACATATAAAGAAATACTTCTCTAGACATTATACATAGTAAAATAAAATTTTGTTGAAAGTGAAAACTAGCCAATAGCTTCTCTATCTCGCAATTTGTTACACACATAAAACTAAAATAATATTCATTATTCTAACTTATAATTTTATGGTCTTCTTGTTTTATAGGTACTGCTTCGTACCATAGAAATACATAACGTGCTATTTACACATAACATTGAATTCAAATTACTGTTGAAAAAGTTAAATTTTAGATAACACGTATCAATTCAAAAAAATATTGGTAAATTTATAAATCATATGTGGTGCAATTATCTCTAAAGATGTCTTCATACCACTGCCCCCTCTTAGGAAATCAAACTAATTCAATTTATACTCTATGAACGATTTATACAAAAATCAAAGTTAAATTTTCCCATGGTATTTTATACAATACATATGTTACATATATTATTATTATTATTACAGCATAATTAAAGTAATTTAGGTTTTTATGAAGTACCTAAAAAAGACAGTACTTGCCTAGCTACGAGTTGACTAAAGTATTATTAAAACAGTAAAAGAATGATTTAAAACTATTTAATTTATAAAATACATGAGTATGAATAGGGACTTAAATGCTCTGTTTTCAAGAAAGTGGTTTTTATCAGCCAAGTAATTAAAATTGATGAGTACAGCTCATACTGGTATATGTGCACTTCGCTTGCGCTACATACCCGCTCTATGTATGAAAATGCTGTAACAAGTAAACGGTGTCCTTTAGACAAAAAAAATGCATGAAATTTTTTTATATCACTTTATTAAAATAAAATAAGTTTTTACCATTTAGGAAAATTATATTATGGTTTTTATATCTGTAGGGATGAAAAAAAAATTATTTAACAACATAATGATATTATCATTAAATTTTGAACCAAATATTTTTTACATAAATTTAAAATTCTCTATGCATTAGAAAGTTAATGTATTATTCTTAATCGTTTGCCTGTATTATTAGTAGAGATATTCCGAGTATTAAATACAAGTAATGTGTACTAAGTAAAAACTGGGTAGTCAATTGTTCAGTATAATTAAACTAAAAATGTTAAAATATTAAATATCCAATATTCCCTTCTCAAATAAAAACCAAAATATAGGTGTAGGATAATATTACAAATAATTTTTGTGAAGTTATTTACCTTTTGGGTTAAATAAATTAGAATTTTTATTTACTCAATAATTGAAATAATTGTAGATATAATAGTAATTACATATTTGGACAGAAGCATTTTCCTGAATGCTCTGAAAATGCTTTTTATACATTTTTGTCTAACCTGGAAAAAATAATTAAAGAGTCTACATCATACAGTTTATACATATAGACTTCCATACTCGAGGATTTTGAAGAATTTACATTTGTTCTACATACTAACATTTTAATATAAAAATGATATTTTTCAAGTATAAATATTTAGTAATTTTTAACATATTTAAAAATACTTTGCAAAAAAAAAGAATTTTACAATACAGTGAGTATTTCAAGTTTTTGGACATCACTTTGATTTTCTTGGGCTAAGTAATGTATTATATTGAATAAATAAAATGTAAAATAAATTTTTAATTATATATAGAGTAATTAAAAAAAGTATTTTACTGAAATATGATGATAACAAAACACCGGGTTAGGACGACAAACATTAATTAAAAATAATCCCATACGACTTCATATTTTTTTTTAAATAAAGCCACGTAAAATACCGAGTACCGAGTTAAAGCAGATTCTCAAAAAAGAACGGGTACACCGCATATATCTAATTATTAGATTCAGTGACGCTATCAGCGTGGAAGTTAACATTTTTACTTTGCAAAAGCATCTGTGTCGCTCAGCTTAAAACCGTCTTTTTATCTGATTTGTACAATCTAAATAAAAATAGTATATTCAAATGCTCATAGAAATATCTGTTCAAATAAGAAATTATGCAAATCGTAATTGGCGTTTAATAAAGAAACGCGAAATAATATTTCATTCTCATTATTTAAGGTGAANTTAATTATTAGATTCAGTGACGCTATCAGCGTGGAAGTTAACATTTTTACTTTGCCAAAAGCATCTGTGTCGCTCAGCTTAAAACCGTCTTTTTATCTGATTTGTACAATCTAAACAAAAATAGTATATTCAAATGCTCATAGAAATATCTGTTCAAACGAGAAATTATGTAAATCGTAATTGGCGTTTAATAAAGAAACGCGAAATAATATTTCATTCTCATTATTTAAGGTGAAATCGATAATCTTCATCACGCTTAGGTTGCACTCTACGGAATTTCACGTGACTCACAGTTTGAGAATTTTAAAAACCATTGACAAATGTTTTAATGCATGAAAATGTATTATATGTATGATACCACGTATTATGTGTTATGTTACTTATACATATATATCATTTTTTTTAATATTGTGATAATTCAATCATTTCTGTTCGATTATTGTATTGTGGTTATTAGCCATCGTTCATATAGAAAATTATTTTATTTAAAATAATATAAACCAATCTTCAAGTGACAGGTTCAATAAAGTCTTATAAAAATCAGTACATATGATATACTACCACTGAAAAACATTCATGTTATTTTACAATTACATGACGCCAAAATCAACGAACCGTACAGCCGGAATCTAATTACGATGTTTATGCACGCGGAAAATAACTAATGATAACATGGAGTGCTTTTAATGTGCAGTAGTAAACAGTAGTTATACATTTATGAAAATTTTTTTATGAATTTTTTATAGTTATGAACAATAGTTTATAACTGTAAGTGTTTGATGTATTGTTTTAAATAACAAGATAATATACAGATTCGTTAAAAAAAATAAATATTAAAAAATTATGTTTTTGTTGTCATTTAGTGCTTTATATAATTTACAAAAAAAGGCCATTGATGAAAATGTGTTGAGCCAGATTTAGAATTTTGAAAGTTCAAAGCAAAAAAATAATAAATTGTCCTGTATGATAATTTGAATAATACTCTCAGTTAATATTATTGTCCTAGTGGATATGGGATAAGAATACTTCCACGGCCCCTTTGTCATTCGTAAGAGGCGACTAATGAAGTTGCGTCAGGTCGTCAGTCGGCGTAAAATTTTTGTCAAAAAGTATGAGGAGTCCTAAACAGCACTTGAGCGACCCCAAGTAATTGGGATTATGACGAGGAAAAAAAACTTCCAGTATAAATAAAAAAACTATTAAAATAATTAATTTAATAAGACATTTTTTTCTTTTATGTTAAGCAAGTATTTAGTTATGTACTTACTGGTTTAATTGATCCTTTATTACATTTTTTAAATAGTTATTTGAAGAAATTAACACGTATTAAACTAATTAAACATATGAACAATGTCGGTTTATTAGACTAATAACTAGAATTATTTAGCTATTTATTATCTTAAAATAGTTAAGTAGCTATTTAAGATAATAGAATCCCTCCTTTTGATTTATAATATTCGAGACGCAACAGCATGTAAACTGAATTAGAAAAGGACTGGTCCTTTTCAAATTAATTCGACGAAATTAATGATCTGATAGATTTGTAAATTAGCAATTGCAACTGTATTTGTTTTTTAAATATAGCATAGTATATTATAGTTAAAAAGATATGCATTTTTATCAATAATTAAATAGCCGTCATAACACTTGAAATCATTCTTTAAATACTATATGAGTTGAAATAAAATTATGACAACCCAACGCGTGCCATACCAAATCAGTTATATTATTATCATCGATAGCAGTTATTACCAAAATTCATTAAGATAATAAAAATGTATTTCTAGAGTGCATTGTAATGAATATTATAACGCATAAATGAAAAAATGCACTTAACGAATAAAGTTAAATAAAAGATATAACTCACACTTCAGAAATATTGTTGTGCTATGTTCAAAATACAGAAGTATTTTAAGTAGTATAGGAATATAATTTTAAGAATACAATTTATACAAATAATTAAGGGTAGTCGTGAAAAATCAAAGATTTTTTTTGTAATGTCGTTATAAATGAAGAAATAATAGTATTTTAAGATAGTAAAACTAATAATAATAAAAAACACTTAAATATTTCAAAATATTAAAAGTTGTTATATCTTTAGCAGTTCTGATAAATAGCGTAGTCAGAAAGTTTCCAAGGGGGATAATTTTTTACAAATAGATTTTTACTAGATTATTAATTAAGCATGCTAATTCTGAGGTTTAGAAAAGATAAACTCACAAAATAAAAATAAAAAATTTTAGATATGTTTATCTAAAATTTAAAACTTTGTCAGGTATATTAGATCATGGTAATAATTTTTTCATCGTCTTAAAATTTCAACCACTATAATACTATAATGGTTATTATAGTATTATAACTTTGTTTTACTCAGAGAAAAAATGATACAAAGAAAATAGAAAAGTGATATAATTAAAGAATAATAATTTTGTTTTATAAAACATCATTTTACAATAAATACAAAAATACTGTCTTGTTTGAAAATTTAATTTTGCTTAAAATTTATTAAAATGGCAAAATTTGAAGGATAAATAAGAAAATTAAAAGTAAAATAATTAATCATTGTCATAATTAGTGTTTAAATCTTGGCGTATCTAAAATAATCTAATCTATGTATAAAATTAAAAGAAAAATAACAAAATATTTTTTTTTAATTTTCAGAATGTTTGCAGTACCAAGTAACTAAACCTATCGTGTATAATAATAAATTATTCGCATATCACTTAAAACAATTAAGAGAGATTACCAAACAAATTTTGGTGGTATTCAAGTTTTAATAGATATTTTGATTATTTTCAATTTAATTAGTTATTGATTTTTTTACAACAAGTTTATTATAGAAAGTTACTTTCCAAAACAATTCTTATTCAATGATCTTAGTTTATGTTATTCGATTAATAAGTGAGTGTTTTAATGATTTTTCAAACAATGTTAGTGATATATCAACTACTATAAAAGAATAGGTAGGTAATCCAAAATAAAAATGTATATTATGTAATTATTTATTTGATATTCTTTTTATCTAGTTTTACTATATAAAAGACAAATGGTATTGTATGGCTTTAACATATCGCACAAAAAAATATTAGTCGCCAATCATTTTGGTATGCAATTATTTTAATACTCAATAAAATTTTTTTAGAGAAAAGAAACTTTTTTACATTTTATTGTCAAGCATTTTTTTTTTATAGTAAATAACAGTAAGTAAAGAAAATTAGATCGTAAATTATAATTATAAATATCATTTTTTGATTAGAGATGTATCTTCGTTAGTAAATAATAAGAACATTAAGGGAATTTAATTAAAAGGATCGTTTTTTACGTAATCAAATTTTAATTTTTTGTGATATCTAAAATTTAATCGTATGGTTACTGCGATTATTAAATTATATTTTGTTAGATGTATTAATATTTCTCTAATACTCAGTAGTCAACAATATTTTTTATAACATTGCTATTAAATTTAAAACATAATATAAATAACATATATACTATATCAAATAACATATTAACGTTAGAAAAACGAAATTTAATATTTAAACAATTGAAAAAAATTATATATACTTAATTAATTTTTTAATATAATTATATTACAGATAATTGGTCAGATAAAAGAAAAATAGATATTATTTTAGAAGCAACAACAGGTATTATTAAGATAAAAGCATTTTTCGAGGAATAGATTTCATAACATGATACTACTTCATATGAACTAACTAAAAAATCAAAATCGAAAAAGTTGATTATTGCCATTTTTTCTTTGTTTCCTTTAAATTTATATTTAGTTACTTGCAGTAGAATTATCCTTTCTGTTTATTTGATGAATGGTATAAATATTTGTTTATACAATAGTTACGTTTTATTATAAAACTAAGCACTTGATGTTTTAAATAACATTAGTACTTCTTTTGTAATTAATTTAAATAATTTTTTTATTTTGAATATAACAATACAAAATGTGATTAGATTTTTTCTAAATTTATTAATAAATACATAAACTATGTATAAAAAATGTTGCATATTATAGTTTCAAAAACCTTGAAGAGGGATATTTATAGAAATAAATCTAAGGTATATTTATGTATTTTTTCTTATGAGTTCTAAAATTGAAGTTATGATTTATTTAGGATAAGGTAGATTAGGTTGATGAATGGGAAAAGATGACGAATTCAGTATTTCATAAAATTATTTAATTTATTAAATAATATAATTTATTTATAGCAGCACATCCTTACTAACATAAAAACCTCTTGAGGTACATTTCGTTTCTCACTAATACTAACACACGATCGCGCACTTTTAGTTGTGGTTAAAAATTTATAATTAGTGTTACATACCAAATTTAAAACCATTTCTAAATTTCAATTTTTGACTTTAGAGACCGATTAGTCTAATAAGACAAGTTGTTGAAACGTCTTTCATTTTTTATACGAATAATAGGTACACAAAAAGCATTAAATTTGATTTTGTTTTGAATGATGTATATATTTCGTTTTAATGTATAAAACTACAATACCTACTTTTTTTTTTTTGTAATTTGTATGATTTTTGGCTCTAATTTCCAATAACTCCTAAAAATCAGAATTTCGGAAAGTTTTTCTTTTTTTATCTTAAAGAACATAGTATTAGCTTTAGATTTAAAGTGGGCTTTTTGGAATATTATCAATTATTAGAAATAAAAACGTTGGTATGATTTATAAGTCCTTAGAATATTTTAATTAATGGTTGGATTAAAAAAAAGTTGTGTCGATAAGAAAAATGCTTAAAGTATTATCAATAAAAATGTCGCAATAATTCATCCATTATTTTTTTATATACCAACATAAAAAATATAAAAACACGGGTGAGTAAAGCCATTAATATCAGGAAAGAATTAAACATTTGTCAATTATATAGATTTAAGAGATTAAATTATATTTCAAAATATAGTTTATTTACTAGAATTTTCAAAATTTAACTCTTCTATTTGCGCGATCAAAGCGTTTTTTGTATAGTTTGATTGACATTAGTAAGAAGGTATTATATTATATGACGGTATTTTATTGAAAAATAATAGAAAACTGACATGGTATTCAACAATATGAATCATCTAAGTCATCAGTATAAGTTTTATAAATCGGTGTAGGCCTATATTTTATTATTTATGTAAATATATTTTCAATGTCAGCGTAAAATTACCAATTATTTTCTAGGTTGTACTAATAATTATTTACAATAGTGATCAAAATAAGTACAAGAATACACTACAGCATAGATCAGATGAACCACCAAGGCGGAACAGGACGTTAGTCAAATAAATGCGGTAAAAAAATTGTTATATTTGTAATACTATTGTCATTAGTATTATTTATTTTAAATGAGCAACCAATCAAGCATTAGTCAGGGAAGATCTAAATGTTTGTTTTTTAAACATAAACGTTTGGTATGATTAAATTAATTAATTAAAACAACATTTAAAAAAATATAATTTAGTTATGACCTACGAACAAAATGTGTTTTAATTGGATTTAAAAGTTCGATTATACTATAATGTATAATCAACTAGATGTTCTTAGGAAGTAAATGAATTACTATTATTTATTATATTAATATTATTACAGCCTGATGAACTACTTAGCAGCAAGTTTAAAATAATAACTTGCTAAAATATTGTTATATATAACAATATTTTAAGTAGTATCAATCAAAATTTACAAAAACTTGGCGATAAGACAAAAGTGCTTAATATTTTTATGGTTATCGGAGTACTTTAAAAGTAATATTTGATTTATCTAATTTTATAAAACTTTAAAATTTTTAAGACGATATTTTGAATAAAATTTGATTACGTCATTTTTATTAATTACATAAAACTAAAAATGAATGATGGAGAAATATTTTCGAATAACATTTAAATTTCATAACTGAACTTAAAAATATTTTATAGAAAATTTTAGTTAATATTACTTAGTAGTTATGCGTAAAGCATTGTATATGGAGGTATAAATTAATAATGTGAAATTTTGTTGAGTGTTTGAAAATTAGAATGAACTAATGCTAAAAAGGGAAGTTTAATATCTTAAAAATCTTTTTGTCATAGTTTTTACCATGGTTATTTAAAAATTAATTTTTTGAGTTAATAATACTTATCCAACTTGGCATTAACTAAAAAGACATTACTTAAATCAACTAAGTAATAGACAAACTTTTATGGTGTTTTTAAGTATAATAAATAAATTTTTTTATAACAAAAATTAAATACATCAGACCAATAAAATTATGAACTTGTAACTGGTAATAAATTTAATATAAATTAACAATATTATACACAGGGTCAAGTTCTGAGTAAAGAAACATTACTAGTACAAATATTTACTCAGTACACCGATCGCAATTTAATTAATATACTAGCCATAAATGAACTGATTAAGGACACAGCATTGTCATTTATTACCATAGGTTGATAAATTAAAATAATATATATATAACCCAACCTTGAAATTAATTTAAAATTGAAAAGTTTTATATGTAATATTTATTTATTTTTTAAGTTTCTATTATTTATTTGTTGGCAATAAAAAAAATTAATTTATGGCACTTTATTTCATTTGGTATAAAAATTTTCAAACATTTTGCATAAAATGGTACAATTAAATAATATATTTAAAATTCCTTGAATTTACTTTTCTTAAAAAATATGAATATTAATACAAATATGGTGAATAGAATTTAGTATTTTATGTTTAAAACATTAAGTATTGCAATATATTTTAAGTTTATTCAATAAATCTGCTAAAGTATTACATCGGTCTTTACAATTTTCTTATTTATTTCCGTACTTTTTCATAATATGACAGATGAGGAAGAAAGAATATTACATTATTTCTTCCTCATAATTAAATAATATACTTAGAATTTTGTTTCATTATTCCTTATATTCGTTTTTTTAAAAATTCACAAAACCCAGAATTTTATAATTTATGTTAGTTCTGAATTTATTTAAGATTTATATAATATTAAAAATTTTAATATTTCTTTTAAAACAATTAATTCCTCAAAATTAGTTTCGTATACATGTATCAGTACAGACTGCACCCATCTGAGCTGCATACCCACTCTATGTATTGAAATGCTTGTAACATTATAAGTACTTGACCTAAAATTATCATAGGCTCGTTTTTTATAAGAAAAATGGTTAAAAAATGGCTATTAAAATAATGAAAAATAAAAAAATATTTATTTAAATTTTTTTCTTCTTAATGATAAATAATAAAAATATACTTTAAAGGTAGTCTAAGAAATCAAGTTATTTTTTAAAATAAATGATGATTTGATCAAAATTTATAAGTGTTGCCATTTAGATCTGAGAAACTCTATAGATAGAACCACTTAGTAATCTTCTTACATCAATGATACACGTGAACTCTCAACTTATGGTGTACTAATATTTCAAAAACAAGGTTATTTTAATTCACATTTTTACTGTATAATAACGAATAAGAAACTTGACAAGGAAATACTTTTGATTCTCGACATTTAGAGATTTATAAGAAACATTTAAATAGGTATCCAGTATCGCCAAAATATTTTTCTGCAATTTCAAACTTTGAAATAAAACTATATTTGCTTTAATTTGTTTTACTGTTTTTCATACAAAATATTTAATGTACAATAATATTCTATTTCAATAACATTTACCTTTAAGTCCCCGTGGTTTTTAGCGTTATTGCAATTATGTACATATTTATTTATTTGGTTGGACTTCAATGTAATTTTTTGAAATACTTATCATTAAAAATTCATTTTTCTTTAAATTTTAAACAGAATATTGTTTTTTATTAACATTAATTTAGTAGTTTTTATGATTAGGATTATAATCAATTTTTTTAAATATATATATATTTTTATTGGAAACTGATTTTAAGGAATTCATATACGCATAAGATGTATTTATACATAACATTGATATTATTAAGTATTAAAAGTTATTAACGTTATCAGTTAGATCTAGGACACTCTGTATATTGGTATAATGACAAGAAGTACATCTAAACCTTATGAATAATTTTTTGTTTAAGACTTATTTATCCATAATTATTTTCATAGTAGTAAACGTGATTACAGACTACTTAACAGGTATAACTACAATATGCTAACATGATTAAGTCAATTATGTTTAATAAAGTGATTTTAAATAATTTATCCATAAATCATCGTTTTGTTCATAAGTTACTTAGGATTAAGTGTTTTATTTAATATTTGAGAATATATCTAAATGTTCAACTTATTTCTACATGATAACGTCTTTTTTAATAATAATTTGAGATAATTTTTTTTAACAAAAAATAATTGTTTTACTCTTTTTCAAGAATAAAAAATAATTAAAATATATAATATACTTGTAGTGTAAACTTACACTAATTACATAAAATTAGTATTATCTTATGTTTGTTTGAAATTTTCTGGGGGTTTAATGCTCACTTAATAATATTTAACTACTTAAGGATGAATGTATATACATCGAAAATTGGAGTTGAGGACTTTTTGAAAAAATTGAAGATGAATATTTTCATAAATTAAAGGGAAAAGTTGTTCAATGTCTAACCTCCCTTGGGCAGTAAATAAGTATAAATTAAAATTTGTTTGGTTCTAAAAAAAAATATTTTTAATATTAAAATGTATATTATATATACCTGAATAAATAAGTAACAATATAATTCGTACTGCGTGCGATTCGAATTTGGTTGCTAGATATGTATGTGTATTTTCGATAGGAAATTGTAGTTGTAGATGATCGGTTGAAATTATGATATTCTCAATTAGATCACTATGATTTTTGATCAAATTGAATAATAAAAAACTCAAACCGTTTTAGAAAACTATCAGCTAC